TGTACATAATGAAGCAAATATAAAGACACAATATATAATGCACGTAATACATAATTTTAATTTTATGACAACTTTAAGCTCCCTATCACTCTTGGGTCGCGGTTTTCCTTAGGAAGTCTTTCCAAATATCTATTAGAAATACCCTTTAAAGTTTTAAAAAAATAATTAAAAAAGTTGTTTAAATAGGATTCATTTTTAGTTTGAATCTTTCTAATCATATCGGGTTAGAGCGCGCCTTCTAGATGCGCACTGATGTAAGGAAGGTACAAATAATGGAACAGTATTTTACCACCAGTGGTGCAGAATCATATTTCACGACAGCAATACATTGTGCGTTAGTGGTGATAAATCAGAAGTCAAAATTCACTAATGTTAGAAACAACGTTAACTTGTTATTCAGAGCAGACGTTGAAGAGAGCATCAATCATCGAAATCTTCTTACGACCGTAAGAATTAGATGACATGAAAATATGGTAGAAAATGCAACAGTAGAAAAGGCGCGCGAAACTGCGGCAGAAAAGCAAGAAGAAATCAAATGATGCAAACGTTAGAGACAAAACCAAACAAAAGAAGGGACAATTTCTCAACGACATTAGCTCTCTGTACCACTAAAACGAAGAAAAAAGCAAATATAATTCAAATTAAGCTTATATAAATAAACACACAAATAATCATAAAACAAAATTTAAAGTATGATAACTAATATTATATAACAGATGAAGTACGTCGAAAGTTCATATCTCTGCTGGCACTGTAACACAATAACGAAACTTGTAGTTCTCAAGTTGTATTTACGCAAGTTGAATGTAGCATAAATAACTGATTAGCACACGAAATATGAACAGAGCTTTCGCAGCCTTGCTCAATCCAGACATTTATAGTGGTTAAGATTGGCTAAATTTCAATTGTTCATGTAGCTCAAATATTATTATTTGAAAATTCATATTTCATATGCAACAGTGAGTTATGTCGTTAAAAGTTTCGACATAAAATAAAAGAGTAGTGACAGACTTTCACAGTCTGACTAATCGGTTAGAGCTGCCAATTTTCATAAAAGTTTACACAAAGTTTGCTTTATTGACCGCTAATTATACTGAGAATTTAATTTACTTAATTTTGTTTTTCAGCAAATAGAAAGATCTCAGAATCGCGGAGACGGCAGGGAAGGAGGTGTGGATAGTGTAATCCGTCAGATATTTGCTTTTCATTTCGGAGGTGGCTCCGGATTCAAATTTAATGCGGATCCTAAAACTTACCTTACTAACTGATGATTTACTTCACAAATATAGTTCGGTAAAACTAAATGAGAAATGGTTAGAAAGCCGGCTGACTTGTACCACTGGTAAACGATTGCAATGCGATTTAAGCCAAGTCTTTGCTCATTTAACTTGTAGACAACCTAATCTAATGCGAAATTTAAAACGAAAAGACTAAGAGGATTTTGACGTCTAAACGGACCACAGAAGAAAAGTTTTTCACAGATAAATGGGAAATATTTTAGAGAGAAGGAAGTATGCATTCCCAACATTTTCCGGTATAAAATGTGAATTCTGAATTTGAGCGCAAGTTACTCTTGTTACATGGTACATGAAAGCACGGATTCTTTCGCTAACCTGAGACTCCTTCTGGAATTCACAACTGATTTGCAGACAGACCTGGATCAGGTCGTTGGTACTATATCTTTGCTCGCACTTGCTGTACGCATAATTAGTATAGCTTACTTATCTGTCTTTGCCTGGAACTACTGAGATCAACTATCTATTATTTTTTAGAGCTATAAGCTTATTTTAATCTTAATATAATTTAATAGTGTAAAATCAGACAATATAAATTAAACATGTGAACGAATGGACAAGCTGAGACATTGAGGTAAAGGAATTCAATTTGCACGAGGTTTCTTGGATCCACATTGAATAGATTAGTACCCTGGATATTCAGATATCAAGGAGAATTACAACCGTTATGGGCGCCCATATCGGGCAGTGTGGCCGCGCTTCTAATCATTCTGGTAAGATCGTATCAGAATATCAAGTTCTCCTTGTTGTTCCCAAATCAACGACTTAACAGTCGTTTTTAGGCTCTTTGCGTAGAAGCAGCTGGAGTAAATTGCCAGTCTAACGGGATTTACGGCTACGACCAAGATCGCTATTTCTCATTATTTTAAACCGATGCCTCTGGAATCCGTTGATTTCTTTGCCACTGTACAGCCACGCTAAGAGATCTCTTATATAGATCATTTGTTTATCTCAGCAGTGATACTCTTCCATCCTCGTACGAGAACAAATCTTTGCATAGTTGAGGACAAGTAGTCTTTGCAAGAGTTTAAAC